GAATATGCTATAATTAATTTCTGATGCCTGGAGAGACTGGATTAACTATCATGTTTATCCAAATCTCTTACAACCATTACATAGCAAAAAAAAAAAAAATCTTTTGGGTTAGTACTTCAAAAGATACACAAAACCCTTCAATCCACTCACCACCGCACCACTCATACACCATATCCCCATCCTCCTTCCTGTCTGCCACTTCCCCTCCATCAGAGATAACTGTAAACACAGAGAACATGCTATTGGCCCAATAGCAAAGAGAATAATACTACCTTCCCCTAACTTTATGCAAAAGGATGTTGTTGACAATGACTATATTACGTACTATTTGTTGAGTAATTTGAGTTTCTCAGACAGTCACTGTATAAATACAAGATACTATTACTATTATTACCATGTTTAATATTTGTTTAATAGTAGGAAAGTTTTTTACAGTCTTGGCTGTAAACTACAGCTATAAATTTTTCCCATAGTCTTTAAGGCTGTTCCAGAGGCTTTGAACAATGATACTAAAGTAACAGTTCAAGCACATCACCGTGCCTAATGAATAACAGCGCTCTTGATTAATGGTACTTGTTCAACATCACACTGACAGAAGTATGACGTGTAAAAAAAATGGAGTTTCTGCCTACTGTGATTTTTTTTCTCCATTTTTTTTAAAGAAAACAGGCATCATAAGAGCTGAATTTTTTTACAGCTGGAAGTTTTTTTATTACCTATTCATCTATTCAACTACTGCTGTATTTTTTTATTTGACAAGTACTGTGCTTTTGTCTCATGCTGGTGCTTGCTATCATTATATAGCGTCACTCAAGAAATCTGCTATAGGATCTGCTAAGCATCTCTGCAATCAGAAAGCCCTCTACTAGCCTAGTACTAGACCTCTGCCCGGGGTAGAAAAAAAGAGAGGTTGGGGGAGGGAAGGAGGATGAACTTTGCTGAAAGGTACACACTGGTCACAGCTGACAAGAAACAACCAGGTGCTGAGAATATCTATCATGAAGCCATTGGTGAATTGCAGGTGACTAGAGGCATACTTCACGGTGCTGTTATCAGAGTTTATGTATTTTACTAACCTTATTTCATTGGGTTGAAGCTATAAGTTTTATGAGCCCCCCAATCCTATACTAGTTGGAGATAAATTCCTCCTCAGCTATATATCAGAGAATGACACTGGTTGTTGGCCCATCTCTCTGGGCAAATTCACTGCCTGTATTTCTTCTTTCTCTTTTGTCCCGGGGCTAGGGTGCAGTGCAGGGTTGTTTCTGTATGACATGACATGCCATGAAGGAAATGCCTTGCAGTTCAAGGTGAGGGAGGCAGGGCAACCTGAGTACCAGCTTTAGCCTCCTGTTACAACCCTATCTTGTAAATTGTTCAGTCTCATGGCGACTTGAATGGTTAGCAATGTTGTCAGCTATCTCTGCATGCCAGCGTTTCTCTCTCCTGGCAGGAACATCTGGAACCCAGACTTCACAAACAGTAATAATAACCCTCCTTTAGCTTTCCCATTTTTGCAGTTGTTATTATGTCATCATGGTAAATGCCCATAATTGACCCCCACAATGAAATGTTGCCAACATTCATTTGAATAGCAACTGCAATCTCACAGGCTAGCAGGCATGTGCTTTGCAAATAAAAATTTTGCTGAATAGCTGAAATCTCAGGTTCGTTTGGGGACCTGAGTACTTCTGAATTATAATGAAAAATGATTTGTTTCTGAAACAGAGCAGTGCTGCATATAGGAACCGAAACAGGAGATTAGGGGTAAGTAAGTATTAGAAGGGTATTTCCAGGATTTGCAAGAGCCCTTATGTCTTTGGGGGCTGATTTAGATATGGAGTGATGAGTCATGAGATGCCACCTGAGCACAAAGTTCTTGTAATTGTATTTCTCACCTAAAGGGCGCACAAAATACACACACACTCACACATTCACGTACACAAAATTCTGGCTTCACTGCCATCCCAAAGTTAGCATATACCTTTCCAGACATTTTCCAGAGCTAGCGTGCAATGAAGACATAACAAAATAGTGAAAAATGAAATGACAGGCTGAGTGGGGTGGCTCACCTGTAATCCCAGCACTTTGGGAGGTGGAGGTGGGCAGATCACTTGAGGTTGGGAGTTCGAGATCAGCGTGACCAACATGGAGAAATCCTATCTCTACTAAAAATACAAAATTAACAGGGCATGGTGGTGCATGCCTGTACTCCCAGCTACTTGGGAGGCTGAGGCAGAAGAACCGTTTGAACCTGGGAGGCAAAGATTGCGGTGAGCTGAGATTATGGCACTGCACTCCAGCCTGGGCAACAAGAGCAAAACTCCATCTCAAAAAAAAAAAAAAAAAGAAAGAAATTATAATGCAAAAATTCACATCAGTACTCTGGCTCTAAGTGTACATTTTAACATTGTGCTCAGGAGGCAATTTCAGTTAAATTAGTATTGATGATTTTTGACTGATTTGGTTGAGAAACCAGGACCAGTTCAAGATGTTTGTTTCAATAAATGAATGAATGGGTGAATGAATTAATTAAATCTATTTTCTTCTATTTCTTGAGGAATCTATTTTATCACAAAATGCGGTTTTTATTATAACTTTTTTTCAAACTAGGCTTGTTACCCTAAAATAAAACACAATCTAACACAGAAGGCAGGGATCTTGAAATTAGCTTTACATAGATTTATATTATCTAAATAAACCTTCTTGATTCAGTCATTATTATCCTGATCTAGTTAAAATCACTCGCACAGGATTTGAAACCTGCTCAAAGTCTTCTCTTAATCTCCCCTCATGTTTCAGAAACAAGCTTCTCTCCAGTTCTGTCCTGTGCTTAATGAGAGAGCCTTTGGGAAGAATAACCAACAATCCCAGGTCATTGTTGGCATAGAAATTAAGGGAGATCAGAAATGTCTCATCATATAAAGAAAATAATGGAAATTATTCAGCTAATGATTCTCAAATTATAGGGAAATTGAGAAAGAATCTTGCCTAAAACGTCACTAGCATTTTTGATAAACTATTTACAAGAGTAGGTTTCTTGTGGCACAAAGAGGGATGTCTCCAGGATGACTTAAAACAACTACTTCCACCTTTCTGAAACTTCTCCTTATCTCCTGTTTTGCCTGTTGACCAGTGGCTCCATCTGGTCAATGGCCCCTCAGGGTGGGTCAAAGCCCCACAGTATTTGCCACTCCTTCCCTATCCTCCACCCAACCATGTAATTATATTTGCTCCCTTAGTCCTAGCTCTCTCAATACAATCAAAATTCCCCATTATATCAGTGTGGCAAACCTAGCTAGTACCAGAAAGCTCATTAGATGAATGCTTTTTTTTTCCACTGGGCTTTGGATAGCTGTAATTCTTCTAATAAAGATTTTTAATTTTATAAAGGGATTTATTAACCCAGTTGAATCTCTTACTTGTTAAAAGAATGATCAGAGATATTTTGTTTAGGGAGGACTTGTCAACAGGACATTCCCCTGATTCTACTCTAGCATGCTAAAGTCAGCAACTTGATACCCTATATCTGAAAAGTTCTCTGACTTGGATTGAATTTCAAAGTCCAAATTAAAGTATCTTAATCTTCTTTTCAGTTTTATTCCAAGGCTAGCTAAAAACAAACTAAGAATAAAGGCAGAAGCATATAACTTTTTCTAAATTGCCTTTATTGTTTTACTCTTTCTTTTCTTATTTCTACCAGAACAGAAAGGAGCTGGGAAAGGAGAGGCTAAGGGGCAGACAGCTACTGATTGTTGATCATGCAAGGCCTGGAGTGTATCCAGCTGGACTGGTCGTCGTTGTGAGTCATGGAGGTGCTCTTCATAGAATTTGCAAGTAGAGAGGTGTATGTAAAGGCGCTTTTGTTTATACTGAATTTTTGAAGTTTGTGGGTTCTACTATTGACTCAGTTTTACATATTTTGATCAGGGAAGTCTTTAGCCAGCAACATGAGATTTTAGTGGGGACACAGCCAAACCATACCATTCTATGCCAGTTCCTCTCAAATGTCATGTCCTCACATTTGAAAACCAATCATACCTTTCCAACAGTCCTGCAAAGTCTTAATTCATTTCAGCATTAACTCAAAAGTCCATAGTCCAAAGTCTTATCTGAGACAAGGCAACCTCATAGGCTTTTGCCTATGAGCCTGTAGAATCAAAAGCAAGTTAGTTACTTCCTAGATATGATGGAGGTACAGGCATTGTGTAAATACAGCCATTCCAAATGGGAGAAATTGGCCAAAACAAAGAGGCTCCATGCAAGTCTGAAATCTAGCAGGGAAGTCAAATCTTATAGCTCCAAAATGATCTCCTTTGACTCCATATCTCACATCCAGGTCATCACGCTGATGCAAGAGGCTAGTTCTCATGGCCTTGGGCAGCTCTGTTCCTGTAGCTTTGCAGGGTACAGCCTCCCTCCCAGCTGCTTTGACAAGCTGGTGTCGCATGCCTGTGGCTTTTCCAGGTGCAGGGTGCAAGCTATTGGTGAATCTACCATTCTGGGGTGTGGAGGATGGGAGCCCTCTTCTCATAGCTCCACTAGGCAGTAACCCAGTAGGGACTTGGTGTGGGACATCTGACTTCACATTTCTCTTCCTCACTGCCTTAGCAGAGGTTTTCCACGAGAGCCCTGCTTCTGCAGCAAACTTCTGCATGGACATTCCGGCATTTCCATACATCATCTGAAATCTAGGCAGAGGTTCCCAAACTCCAATTCTTGACTTCTGTGCACTGGCAGCCTCAACACCATGTGGAAGCTGCCAAGGCTTGAGGCTTGCACCTTCTGAAGCCCTAGCCTGAGGTATATGTTGGCCCCTTCAGCCATGGCTGGAGTGACTGGGACACAGGGCACCAAGTAAGTCCCTATACCGCACACAGCATGGGGACCCTGGGCCTGGCCCACAAAACCACTTTTTCCTTCTAGGTCGGTGGGCCTGTGATGGGAGGAGATGCCATGAAGGCCTCTGTCTTTTTTTTTTTTTTTTTTTCTCTTTTTTTGAAAAGGGACTTTATTTATTAAAGAAAAGTCATTCGTGAGTGACTAAATTAGCATGCTTAACATTAACACTCTGAGTTGAAACCTGTCTCCGTTAAATAACACGTGGACTCTCCAAGCAAATGTCTAGAGGGCAGTTCAAGTAGCAACTCAAGAGCCCAGAGGAGCACGGGAGGAAGCCATTACTCCACTTCCTGGGGCCACAACCACTTTTTTGTAAACACCTGTCAGATGCTAAAAATACGGCCTTACGCACTACAGTCACCGACGTTTATAAGCAATCAGATCAGAGAGCAGGAGCAGCCACAGCGCCTCCAACAGTCCAGGGCTGAGGAGCTGAAGTGAGTTTCCTGCCGAGGTCCGCTCTGTCCGGTCTTGGGCTGCGCCGGGCGCTGCTGTGGCCAGACAGCCGAGTGGAGCAGCGCCACCTACATGAGATTTAGCGTCTGGGAGATTCTAGAGATCTGCAGCATGACGGACCCGTTTCTGGATCATTCACCCACTGGGTGCTGTTCAATGGGTTCTCCAGCATGTCTTCAAATGCTAGGAATGTTTTCGGGTTGGGTCAGGCCCAGCTATACCACTGGGTTATCCAGGATGGCCTGAGAGGACTGTCGGGGTCGATGCCCTTGTCCAGCTCCTCTGGGGAGGGCTTCCGGTCCCCCAGCAGCCACTGACTCGCAGCGTTCTGCTGGTTGTTGTTCACTCTGAGGGAGTATATCACCTCCTTGTCGAACCCCATCTCCATCAGGGAAACGATGGCCCAAGCATCGGCGGAAACTCCCTTTTCCTCCAGATCCTCTTGAAGATTTCCGTTAGCTCATCTCTGGCCTCCTCGGCAGTGGTGCTGGCTCCTGCGGCAGCCTCGGAGATGGCTGCTGCGGCTGCTGAAGCCCCCTGAGCCCCTGGGGGAGCTTGGCCTGGAAGAGGCGTGTCTGTGGTTGGATCTTCTCCGAGTTCTGTTAGCCACTCCATGGCCTGAGGCACCGACAGGTGGTTCAGCTGAAGGGCCCTGATGGCCCTGGTCTCGGGAAAGCCCATCTCCGTGAGCTGCCACAGGGCAGCCTCATCCACACGCTCATCCTCCTTCTCGTCCAGCATAGCATTCGCCTTCTTAAACAATTCCACCGCATCAGGGTCCAGTGCTAACAGCTTCTGCGCCACCTCGATGAAAGACACCAGTATCTTCCAGAGTTCTGTCTGGAAGTCTCTCATGTTGGTCTGGACCACAGCCCAGTCCATGTTGTGGGAGGGCAGGTTGGCAGTGACCTGGAGGATGGCATCTTTATCTCAGCCATCTTGGTAAGTGGTGCTGAAGCATCTTTTTTATCAATAATAGGACATCTTGGTCCTGGATGTCATGCCAAGACAAGGTATCCCATTGTCTTGGGGATTAACACTGTGTTCATTGTTAGTTATGCAAATTTCTACAGCCAGCTTGAATTTCTTCTCAGAAAATGAGATTTTCTTTTATATTGCATTCTTGAGCTGCACATTTTCTAAACTTGTATGCTCTGCTTCGCTTATAAAACTGAATGCCTTTAACAGCACCCAAGTTAACTCTTGAATGCTTTGCTGCTTAGAAATTTCTCCCACCAGTTACTCTAAATCATCTCTCTCAGGTGCAAAGCTTACAAATCTGTAGGGAGGGGCAAAATGCTCCCAGTCTCTTTGCTAAATTATAACAAGTAACTTTTGCTCCAGTTCCAAAAAAGTTCCATATCCCCATTTGAGACCACCTCAGTCTGGATTTCATTGTCCATATCACTATCAGGCTTTTGGTCAAAGTCATTAAACAAGTCCTTAGGGAGTTCCAAACTTTCCCACATTTTCTTGTCTTCTTCTGAGCCCTCCAAACTGCTCCAACCCCTGCCTGTTACCCAGCTCCAGAGTCACTTCCACATTTTGGGGTATCAACAGCAGTGTCCCACCCTCCTGGTACCAATTTACTGTATTGGTCCATTGTCACGCTGCTGATAAAGACATACCAGAGATTGGGCAGTTTACAAATGAAAGAGGTTTATTGGATTCTAATTCCACATGGCTGGGAGGCCTCACAATCACAGTGGAAGGCGAAAGGCATGTCTCACATGGTGGCAGACAAGAGAAGAGAGGTTGTGCAGAGAAACTCCCATTTTTAAAACCATCAGATCTTGTGAGACTTATTCACTATCACCAGAACAGCATGAGAAAGTCCTGCCGCCATGATTCAATTATCTCTCATCACGTGCCTCCCACAACATATGGGAATTCAAGATGAGATTTGAATGGGGATTAACCAAACCATATCACTCACCATCTGCATTCATTGCTGCTCCCCATATTTGTTCTGGATGCATGTGTCTTATGGCATACTTAAACTTCTCTCTCTTACAGGCATTTCGGTTACCCTTGAGTGGGACGGGCTGGGTTTTTCATATATAACGTGATGAATCCTTACTGATTCTGGTAGATTATGTTGAATATTGTTTGAAGATAAAGAGATAGAATTGATTAGTGGATTGCATTTGGGATGTGGGAAAAAATAATCAAAGATGATTATAAGGGTTCTAAGCTGAAAGGGGAAAGGATAGATGGGGAAGACTTGGAAAAGCAGAAGTGAAAGGGGAAGGTCAGTTGTCCAGTCTTGGAAAATTACCTTAGATCTTTCAATGTCACAATAAACTGAGCCCTTGATTCAACTGCCCAGATACATTTTCAACTCTCCAGCAAAAGGGATTTGATACAACGATATTCAACATAGTAATAATAGTAGCTAACTCTTACAGATTATTTATGAAGTTCCAGGCACTATTTTAGACACTTAAGTAAGTTCCCAGCTGAAACATATAGAAGTGCCAATCTTCCTAGGTTTCAGCTAATGAGATATAAGTGGAGATGATGTGTATAAATTCTGGATCATTGCTAACTTGAAGCCAAATTGGCTGTCCTGAATTTTGGCTCTTATTTCCATGAATAAGACTGTTTCTAAGCCAATAATGCAAATCTCAACTTTGCAAATTATGATGGAGGCGCATGATGAAAGGATTCCACCATCCTAAAAGGTTACAGAGAAAATATACACCACCATTCTAGACTAGCCTGTCATATTAGATATAACTAAACATCTAATTGTTCAAGGTAGTTTGGTCTCCTTTTTAATAGAAATACAACAATTTATGCTAATTAATAGATGCAGTTTTCTGAGGTAAAATGATAGTAACATTAGCCAGGCACAAGTAGATTTTACATTTTTATATACTTTTTAAAATAATTATAAGAGAGTAAATTCCTATATTAAATCTGGGCAGCTGTTTTCCAGTCAGAACCTCACTCCATTCCCCTGCCCTCACTCCCACCCAAGCTGTTAAGAACGGTGATATTCAAGACCTGGTAAATGATCAGATGTACACATTATGTTTCCAACACATTTAATTATTATCACTATTAAGCACTGTTTTATTATTGAATTTCTAGAGCAAAGCCATATTTCCCAAATTTTCCACTAATTCTCAATATCTTGCCCCAACTATGAAAAGTAAACCATAGTTTTCTACTCAGCTCTTATATCATTCACCAAAAGGGTATGGAAATTTTTGCTTCATTAGACACTTTAAGCTTTCTCTTTGTTCCTCCTGTTCTGTGCTCCAAAGAACAACCTGTAATAATTTGCTCCCACTTCACAACCAAAAATAAAATCTTCTTTTAAAATGAAATGCTTTAATTTCAACTATGATAATGCCAAATTTGGCACAAACTATGATAAATTAACTATTTAAACCTCAAAATCTCCACAAAATATTAGATTAAAAAGGCTGTTTAAAATTCAGAAAACATTCTTCTGAGGAAAACATTCGTGTAGTTAAAAAGACTCTAACAATTAGGGACCTAAATTCAACTTTTTCCATTTCTTCTGTTACCATCACTAATACCTATTTGCTATAATCCAACTGTAAGAAATTAGTCTATCCATGACTTTTACAACTCTTGTTGTAAGCATCATTCATTTAGAATTTAGCATGTCATTAGTATTATAGTTATTTATCTTTTTGAATGCAGATCCTGTCTCTTCATTAATCTTGGAAGATGGGAACCAATGGATAATATCATATAGCCCTAGTTTGTAGCACGCCCACTCCGTGGATACAATACAGTGTACTTGGGCAGGGTGTATTGAGTATCATATACATAAAGGCTGTTCTCATGTAGTCCCAGTGTTTCTGGGAAAGAGGGTTGGGAAGGGAAACCTGAAAGAAGAGGAGGCACATTTCTCTACTAAACACACACGTGCATACACACATGTATATATGCATGTGTGCATTTGTGTATTTTAGTGGTTAATAAAGGTAAAGAAAGCCTACAATTTTTTTATTCTTGTGAACCAAGGTTTTAAGTTTCTGCTATTCCCTCAGGATATTTCTTGAATCCCAGTTCTCAATTAAATAGGCAGTACTTGAATTTAATGATCTCAAGAACATAAGATCAGAAGACTTATATCTCATATCTAACGAGTTATGGGGAGAATTTTATAAGAATATAAATAAATAGGATTTTTTGTTTCTACCATATATTCAGTGGAAAATATTTTAAATCTTCTTTTCCTATATACTTTACTGAATCCTTAAGGTTTATTATCTTTTATTTTTGTTTTTTGTTTGTTTACTTTGCCAAAAATTAACTTTGTAGTATTCACCTCTTTGAGAAATGTGGAAAATGATATTACCACAATTTATCTCAAAATCTGGAAATGGCATGTACCAACATGACATTGCCTATATTTTTACACAGGTATCGGTTTACATAGATATCATTGTAAAGGTGGAGGTAAGGAAACTCAAGCAAAACAAAAATAAATCTGCAATCAAAAACTCATCTGAAGCCATTTCTCCTTTTTCATGTAGTGGTGCAGAGTAGTGTCTTTAAAGTTAGTTTTATAAATTTTTACAAAGGCAACATAGTAAGTTAAAAAAAAAAAAAAGCTCTATAACCAGACTGACTGGATTTGAATCCCATATTTATCACTTACTAGCTATTAAAACTAGAGAATATCACTTCTCTTTGCTTCCATTTCTTTAACTCGAAGAATGGAAGAAAAATAGCATCTATCTCACAGAGTGATTCTGAAGATTGAGTAAATGAACATATGCAAAACATGAAGGATATGGTAAGGGCTCAGAGAATATTGGCTGTTATTTGGGGATAAATTATGTATTTGGATTATAGGCAGCAAGTACTCTGGATACATCAAGTGCTGAAATTGCTATTTGACTTTGCATTTTCTTTCTTTTTTTAAAATTAATATATAACATATGTATATATTTGTGGGGTACATGTGATATTTTGATTATGTATGCAATGTGTAATGACCAAATCAGGGCATTTAGGATAGACATCACCTTTAACACACCCTTTATTTGTGTTAGGAACCCTTTAGTGTTTTCTTCTAGCCATTTTGAAATATATCATATGTTGATGTTAACTATAGTCACTCTAATGTGCTATCCAATGTTAGAACTTATTCTCTCTACCTAACTGTATGTTTAACATACAAAACTTAATGAAACTTTCTTCATCCACTTCTCTAACAACAACCTCTGGCAATTTTCTGTCTCCTCTCTTCCTCCATAACATCAACTTTTTTAGCTCCCACGTATAAATGACAACATGCAATATTTACTGTATTAGTTGATTTTCATACTGCTATGAAGAAATACCTAAGACTGGGTAATTTTTAAAGAAAAATAGATGTAATGTACTCACAGTTTCACATGGAAAAGAAGGCATCACAGTCATGGCAGAAGGCACAGGAGGAGCCAAGACATGTCTTACATGGTGGCAGGAAAGAGAGCATGTGCAGAGGAACTGCCCTTCATAAAGCCAACAGATCTCATGAAACTTATTCACTATCATGAGAGCAGCATGGGAAAAACATACCCGCATGATTCAATTACCTCCCAGTGGGTTCCTCCCATGACATGTGAGGACTGTGGGAGCTATGATTTCAGATGAGATTTGGGTGGGGACACAGCCAAACCATATCAGTTTGTTTCTGTTTCTGTGGCCTATTTCACTTAACATAATGACCTCCAGTCCTATCAATTTTACTACAAACCACAGGATATCATTCTTTTTTATGGCTGAATAATATTCCACCATGTATATTTACTACATTTTTTAATCCATTTATCTACTGATGAACATTTAAGTTGATTCCATATCTTAGCTATTGTGAATAGTGCTGCAAAAACACTGGGGTGTAGGTATCCCTTTGATATACTGATTTTCTTTCCTTTGGATAACTGTTCAGTAGTGGAATTATTGAATTATATGGTAGTTCTATTTTTAGTTTTTTGGAAAACCTCCATACCATTTTCCATAGTGCCTGTACTATTTACATTCCCAAGAACAGTATATAAGTGTTTCCTTTTAAAAGAGGGAGGCAAATTACCTCTGTTTGCAGATAATATGATCCTATATCTAGAAAACCCCATCATATCAGGCCAAAAGCTTCTTAAGCTGTTAAGCAACTGTGGCAAAGTCTCAGGATAAAAAATCAATATGCAAAAATCACAAGCAATTCTATACACCAACAGCAAACAATCAGAGAGCCAAATAATGAATCAACTTCCATTTGCAATTGCAACAAAAAGAATAAAATACCTAGGAATACAGCTAACAAGGGAAGTGAAGGATCTCTTCAAGGAGAATTACAAACCACGGCTCAAAGAAATCAGAGAACATAAACAAATGGAAAACCATTCCATGCTCATAAATAGAATCAATATCATGAAAATGGCCATACTACCCAAAGTAATTCATAGATTCAATGCTATTCCCATTAAACTACCATTGATATTCTTTACTGAATTAGAAAAAAGCTATTTCAAAATTCATTTGGAATGAAAAAAAGAGCCCATATAGCCAAAACAATCCTAAGCAGAAAGACAAAGATAGAGGCATCATGTTCCTCAACTTCAAACTACTACAACGAAACGGTAACCAAAATAACATGGTACTGGTACATAAACAGACACATAGACCAGTGGAACAAAATAGAGAAGTCAGAAATAATGCCACACATGTACAGTCATCTGATCTTTGACAAACCTGATAAAAACAAGCAATGGGGAAAGGATTTCCTACTTAATAAATGGTGCTGGTCATATGCAGAAAATTGAAACAGAACCCCTTTCCTTACACCTTATACAAAAATTAACTCAAGATTAAAGACTTAAATATAAAACCCAAAACTATAAAAAGCCTAGAAGAAAACATAGGCAATACCATTTAGGACATAGGGACAGTCAAAAGTTTCATGATGTCAAAAGCATTTGCAACAAAAGCAAAAATTGACAAATGG